AAACCAGACAATAGACCAAGCTGTGACCATGCAGACCTGGACGTCCAGCCACCCATGTATGCCCAGCGCTGCCAGCTGTCATCCCAGGGCCCAGCGCCATCCCTCCAGTGGCTGTTCCCCGTCAGCTGCTGTGCCCACCCAGGTGAGGGCTTCCTCTCTGTTCAGACCCCCATCTCCTCACACAGGTCCCAAGGCTGCTTGTTCTTTGAGGACCCAGAGAGTCAAACACCCTCCGGCCCCATCCCAAGAGAGTCAGGGGAGCCCCCAACCCGGTCTGTCTGCAGAAAACCAAGACGCCTGCACTCCCTTCTTCTCCAGCCGCTTTACTGAGATAGAATTCACTGGCGAAAATGCTCGGGTCATCGGTTCTAGTGTATCCTCAGAGTTGTGCAGCCACCACACGTCTTCAGATGTTTATCCCGAGGAAGGAAGCTCCAGCCCCGACGGCGTGACTCCCTTGTGCCCCCCGGAGCCCCTGGCAGCCCTGCTCCCCTTGCCGTCTCTAGGGATCTCTGTTTTCTGACATGTCAGGTGAATGGAATCATACAACTCGTGGGCTCTAACTTCTGCTCGCATGGGATTTTAGGAGTTCACGCACGCAGCGTGTGTCAGGACTCCATTCCTTTCCGTGGCTGCGTCATAGTCCATGGTGCAGGGGGACCATGTGTGGCCAATGCTTCTGCCCGTGGACGGGCAGCCAGTGTTTCTCGCTCGGGCCTCGGAGAGCTTGCTGCTGTGGGTGTTGGTCTGTGCACAAGTCTCCACGTGGACAGACTTCAGTTCTGCTGGGCATGCACCCAAGTGGCGTTGCCAGGGCACGTGGCCACCCTGTGTGGCGCTGCCACACCTCTTCCCCAGGTGCTGCATGTCGTGTTCTTACGCAGCCTGTGCAGGCTCCAGTTTCCAATGAGTTCACTTTTTTTTTTTTTAAATAAAAAGATGGGGTTTCACCATGATGGCCAGGCTGGTCTTGAACTCCTCACCTCAGGTAATCCACCCACCTCGGCCTCCCATAGTGCTAGGATTACAGGCGTGAGCCACTGCGCCCGGCCTGAGTTCACTTTTAATGTTTTGTTTTGTAAAAATCAGCCTTAGACAGTCAGTGATCAGACTCTGTTTGGTCTCTGCTGTGGTGAATTATGGAGGCACCAGAGTCCCTCGCCAGCCCTGTGAGCACCGGAGCCCAGGGATCCTGTCTTGGGGTCATTTGAAATGGTGCAGACTTTACAAAGGGCTGATGGGCAGGTGGGCCCACTCGGCCTCCAGGCGCAGCCCTCCTTGGGGTCCCTGATCGTCCATGCAGGCAGCAGTCCTGCTCTATGGGTGAGTCCTAGGGCCACTCGTGGCAGGAGGAGGCTGGGTGGGGTGAGTTTAGAGAAAAGTGGCAGGTTGTTGTCAGTGGTTTTTTTTTTTGAGTTGGTGTCTCGCTCTGCCGCCTAGGCTGGTGTGCAGTGGTGCGATCTCAGCTCACCACAACCTCCACCTCCTGAGCTCAGGGGATTCTCCTGCCTTGGCCTCCCAAGTAGCTGGGATTACAGGTACATGCCACCACGCCCGGCTAATTTTTTAATTTTTTATGGAGATGGGGTCTCACTTTGTTGCCTACACTGGTCACCGAAAGAGAAAAGTATTTTAGAGATTTGAGGAAAGAGCCATAGGTGTGGTCTCCGGTTGCTTCAGAGCTGTGGGTGGAGCTGTTTTGCTTCCTCCAGGAGGCTTTGGCTCCCAGACCTAAAACGCAGACACGGCTTGGTTTGCTAAGAGCTTTCCGTCCCTGTCATCCAGGTGTGTCCACAGGCATGTCCGCAAGCGTCCACACAACCAGGCATCGTGAATGTTTTTTCACATCAAGTGAGCATCTCAGGAACCCCCAGTCACACCCTTGTCTTACGCATCCCACGAGTCTCCTGGAACCACACACGGGGGCTAGGGAGCTTAAAAGAACAGAAATGCGTTCTTGGTCTGGAGACCAGAAGCCTGAGATCAGGGTGTGGGCAGGCCCTGGCTCCCTCGGACACCTTCAGGGGAGGGCCCACTTGCCCTGCAGCCTCTGGTGGCCTCCAGCCATCTGAAGCCCATGGCTACATGGCTCCTGCCTCTGACTCCATTGCCGCATGGCCCTTTACCCCATCTCCTGTGAGGACTCCAGTAGCGTAGGATGAGGGTCCACCCCAGTGTTCGTGACCTCGTCTTACCTGATCACATCTGCGGTAACCCTGTGTCCAACCAAGGTCACATTCCGAGACACACTGGGGCTAAGACTTCAGCTTCTGGGGCTACAGTTCCACCCGCTAACACTGATGAACTGCGGTTTGTGTGACCAAATCTCTGGTGTTCCCAGTGTCCCAACCACAGTTTTAAATTTGCATATTTAATAGGTTAGATGCAGCTGTAATTATTTGCTTAGGATAAACTCCTGCAAGTAGAATTGCTGGGCCATGAACGTTTTTTTAAATGACAGGGTCTCACTTTGTTGCCCAGGCTGGAGTACAGTGGTGTGATCATGGCTCAGTGCAGCCTCAATCTCCTGGCCTCAAGTGGTCCTCCTACCTCAGACTCCTGAGTAGTTGGGACCGCAGATGCACACCACCACACCTGGCTTTTTTTTTTAAAGAGGTGGTGTCTTGCTGTGTTGTCCAGGCTGGTCTGGAACTCCTGGCTTTAAGCAGTTTTCTAGTGATGGCTGTTTTTTTTTCAGACATGGATTGAATGTGGACCACCTGCTGTTTTTTAAACCCATAAGCCAGGAATGGGTTTTATAATTTTAAGTGTTTTTTTTTTAAAAAAAATATTTTGTGACATGAAAAATTGTATGAAATCAGGTGTTGATGAATAAAGTTTTATTGGCACACAGCGTGCACATCTGCTCGCATGCCAGGGCTGAGCTGCTGTGACAGCCCCATATGGCCCACAAAGCTGAAAAGATTTGCTAGGAGGCCCTTTACATAATACATTTGTTGATGTTAGCTCTGAACATCTATATTTGCATTCAAATTGATTTCAAAAATAAAAGTGCAGTGAATCAGCAGGGCCTGTCAAAGTGGTCATTGCGTTTGGAACGTTGCGTTTTTCCCAGGTGTTGCATGTTTGTGCTGCTGAAGGTGGCTACAATGGGCAGGCCCCAGGCAGGCACCTTCACTGCACTGATGTCCTGGTTGGTGCTTGGAGCACCTGAGTCAGCAGGGAATATGTCCCTAGAGAGCGAAGACAGGCAGGGCGGAGGGGCGGGGGGTGGAGGGACGGAGAGGCGTTGACTGCCGCCAGGCTCCTGCTGAGGTGGGCACTCAGGGAGGTGCTGTGGGGGACCTCGTCCTGGCTGGAGGATCTGAGGACAGCCACAGCCGCAGGTGGGGCTGGGCTGCCAGGGCAGAAGCCCTCCTTTCTTCTAGAGCAAAGTCCTGGCCCACTGCCTGTTTAAAAGTACTTTTTTCAACAGTACACATAGCAAAGCTTAAAGAATCTTGCAGGAAGCCTGGCCCTGCCCCTCCGAAGGGTCTGCCGTGTACATTTGCTGTGCTGGCACCGTCACACCTAGTGTCACCCCGGCCACCACGCTCCGTGCCCTGTGCTTACCCATCCTCTTGCTTGAGGTTTTTGGAAAATACACAGAATGTAAAATTGACCGTTACAGCCACCTTAAAGTGCACCACTCAGGCATATTTAGTGTTGTGTGTCCATCACTGGTTCCTACTTCCAGAACATTCCATCCCAAGAAGAAACCTGTACCCACCAGCAGGCACTCCCCTGCACCCACCCTCAGCCCCGGCAGCCACTCAGCCGCCACATGCACTGTGGACTGGCCTGTTCAGGTGTTTCCCATGAGCGAATCACAAACTGTGTGGCCCTCATGTCTGCTCCTTCCCTCACGTGAAGCTTCCCAGGTCCCTGCACGGTGTGGAGTATTGGTGCACGGTTCCTGTTGATGGCTGGGGAGCGTGCCGGGTACGTGCGTGAGTTTCCCTGTGTCTGCTCCTTCCCTCACGTGAATCTTCCCAGGTCCCTGCATGGTGTGGCGTATGGGTGCGCGGTTCCTTTTGATGGCTGGGTAGCGTGACAGGTACAAGCCTGAGTTTCCCGACACATTACACATTACCACAGGCCAGGTGGCCTGAGACAGAGAGATGTATTCTTGCTGGGTTCTGGAGGCCGGAGGTGCCGATCAAGGTGTCAGCCGGGTCCTCCCTCTGGAGATCCTCGGGGAGAGCCCTTGCTGTCCCCTGGCTGGTGGCTGCACCACTCCAGTCTCATCCCCGGCCTTCGCACGGCCTCGCTGCTACACGTCTGCGTCTGTAACTCCCTGCCCTCATAAGGGCCCGGTCATAGGATTGAGGCCCACCCTGGCCCAGCATGGCCTCATCTTAGCCCACGACACCTGCAAACACCATACTTCCAAACGCGGCCACAGTCGTGTATTACGTACAGGCTGCACTTTGTCTGTCGTCCGCTCATGGGTGCTTTGGGCGCTCCTGCCTTTTGGCCACTAAGTCACGCTGCCCTGGACGCACGTATGCAGGTCTGTGTGCGGATGTAAGTTTCAGTCTCTTGGGCGTGTAGCTGGGAGTGGAATTGCAGCAGGGAACCACAGGGTCACTTGATAATTAGGCTTGGGTTTTGAGGGACGGTGACCAGTTGATTTTGAAATCTAGATTCTGTACAACAGACCTATGAGGGTTTATGCATTGATGATGAAAATACGTGTGCGTGTTGAGGGCCTGGCTCCCTGGGAGCACACAGGTGCTGGTGTCAGCGGGGAGGAGGCAGGCAGACGGACGCATTCCTCACATGAAGACCAAGCAGTGGTGGAGGTGACGTCCAGAGTAGCAGCCGCGTGGCACACGCACAGGTGCTGCTGGTGTTTGGCCGAGCTCTATCGCTGGAGGGCATAGGGTGGCACTGGCTCCCACAGTCCTGACACGCTCTTGGCACCACGGGCAGCTCCCCAAGCCAGAAGCGCCACGTGCAGAAGGAGCTCATTCCTCCTCTCCATGCTCTTCCTGCAGATGGGGTGGGGTGACCTCGGGGTATATGGAGAGCCCTCCAGAGAGACCCCGAATTTGGACCGGATGGCTGCAGAAGGCACGCTTTTCCCAAACTTCTATTCTGCCAACCCCCTGTGCTCGCCATGTAAGTCAGTGCAGCCCTCGCCCCCAAGGAGGGGTGAGCCCTGCAGGCCAACGCCTCCCGTGTTCTTGCAGCCCAGACTGTGGCGGCCACATCAACCTTGTCTACCCCTGGGAGGTGCAGGGAGGACAGCAGGTGGGCTCAGGCCCTTCTCATTGGTCCCTGCCTGGCTCTGTGTCGTGGGCTGTGGCTCCCGCCAGGTTTTCGGGGTCGAAGTTGCTGTGTTGTTGGCGGCTGCTGCTCTCTGTTCCCAGAGTTGGGTGCTGTGCCCACCTGGGGAGAGGCGCTGCAGCGTGGCTCTGTCTCGGGGTACCTGCGAAGCAGGGGTCCCACTCCCTTCCTCCCTGTGGAGAGTCTCCTGCTGGAGACAGAAACACGTGGTACTGGTCGTGAGGAAGATGGGAAAGCAAGGCACGGGGCCAGTGCTCAAGTATGGGGGGTTGTGGACCTGCACGCCCAGCGGGTGTCCCGGGGGTCAGCACACGGGGTCAGGGCCATGGGGACCTGCAAGCCCAGCGGGTGTCCCGGGGGTCAGCACACGGGGTCGGGGCCATGGGGACCTGCAAGCCCAGCGGGTGTCCCGGGGGTCAGCACACGGGGTCGGG